GTGGTAGATAGAATCTCAACATCATCCTCGACCTCAATGATTTTGCCGCATGACTTGGAATCGTCTTTTGGTAGCGGAGCAGGCTCTTCAGCCTTGTCCTTCGAACATCCAGCCCCACTATCATCAAGAGGCGCTTCTTCAGCTGGTTCAGCTTCGCTGCCATCAGCTTGCGAACCCTCATCACAATCCTCAGACTCATACTCCGACTCCGCATCAGCACTCCGGTTGGCAACAAATTTGTCAGCGAAGCCATGCTGCTCGCGGAGCCTCTGAATCAGCGCAAAAAGCTGTCGCACATCGTCTGCCTCACAAGATTGAGTGAAACAGTCCAATAAAAAGAAAAAACACGTGCCATATGAAACTACCCAAAAAATTCCAAAACGTTCTTCTTTAATCAAAACAGATTTAGGCAGTCTATTTCCATCAAGTTGCACGCGGTGTTTGATGCCTCTTATGTGCGTCCTTTTGCCTCCTGACAGTGAAGCCCCAAAGGCGTTTCAGATTCCAAGCGTCCTTGTACGCCATGTTGGCTTTATCATTGATGCGAGCGACCTCGTAGAATTTGTCCACCTTGACAGGGCGGGCTCATGGCAGAGTTGAACATGATTCATGAGGTCACCGTTCAGAACTGACACCACAAAATTGTCTAACACCAATAATTACCTCAAAACAAATTTATCCACTCCTACCTCCTTCTCAATCTTGTGTACTGACGGCTTTGGAGTCAAGCCCCACGCGTCAATCATCTCATACATGATGGCCACATTGAAATTCAAAAACTGCATGTTGATGGGAGGTCCTTTCGGACCTTCGTCATCAGATGCGTTTTCGTCGTCTGCAGGAGGCGCTTCTGGAGGATCAGGTAGCCGAATCCAGGGTTCACCTCTTTGTAGCCGCTTTTTGATTTTCAGCCTGGCTTCCCATCTACGAGCCAGCCTAATGACACCCATGGCACTGATCCGTGGCTGCCCCGCCTAGACTTGACCCCCGGCAACACTTCGGAGCGCAGAGAAGAATTAAGACCACACACTCATGCATGTCCAATCTAAATTTTTAATTCCACTCAACGACTGCCTCCAATGCTCGAGTGCACATCCGAACATGGGCCTCCCAACGATTGGGGCCACAAGAACCAAAAGTACAGCGTGCCAATCAGAAGGAAATCTCTGTGTGCGTGTCAGGCCTTCTGCCACGATGCGGGCGGTACAGAAACACTGCAGAAAAAGTTGTTGCACCAAAACTATCATGCCATGTCTATGCGCAGCCATGTTCTGATTGACATTATATAAAGACTTTAAAATACCGCCCTTTGTTTGACTCAACCGTCTCAAGCTTCAAGGTCGAGCCAAGAAAAGCACTGAATCTGACCTCGAATGCAACCTCAGCCTAGCTAAACATGAGTCCAAGCTTTATATCCAGGCCCACTCTTGGTGTGCTTTTGTGGCAGTAGCACAAATCAAAACTGGTACGTAGCGTCAACGACTGACCCTTGTTTCCTTTGGTGTAGTATACCACCTTCAAAAACAGCGCAGCTTGCGATGAAAACACACATAATGATGTGCAAGACATGCTCCTGGGCAAACAACCGATGAAAGTACACATCGGAAACACATCTCTCATATAAGCGGTGACTAAAACTATTTCACCGATTCGCGCCATACATGGAAAAATGCACATTTAACAGAAACAAACGCATGTGTTTGTGTGCACGCGTCCGCGCGCGTGTGTGTGTGCGCGCACGTTTTTTTAAAGCGACTGCGGTGGCAATTGTGTCATCGCCAGCTTGCGCAATTAATTTCCCCACTGGTATGCATGTCCCTTAAACATAGCGCCAAAAGTCCATCCAAACCGCTTATATTTGCGTCACACATGGCTGAGAGGTGACCTTTCTTGAGCAGTGGCAACAATTCAAAAAGTTGCCACTGAAGAATCGCACAGTTATACTTTTTCAAATTTACGCCCCTTTCCACTGTATACACTTATTCTTGCCACTGAGGATCCCCAGGTCTACACTACACGCCAATTTGTACCGCTGACCGTCCCACAGTGGCAAAGGGCATGAAGAACTCATGACCCCAGAAATCAGCTCAGGACATGGGGTTTACCATAGGGATGGCCGTGGAGGTTCCGCATTCTACGCCACCAAAGAACACTACTCACGTGGATTTGCTGCGGCGCCCTCCGTGAAGCCAAGGCCTATCGTCGCAACCGTGAGTTTGTTCGAAGGTGAGGCGATGGATGGAGTCGCAGTTTGGAAGTCGTGCTTGGGCCATGACTCGTTGGACTGATCCCGTCCTGCGGCTGACCTCCCCATTAGTTTGCAGGGCCTCCCACTTCACGGCGTCAGCAGCAGCAGCAGCAGCAGCAGCGCTATCGCTGCGGTTCCCACCTGCCTCCCACAGGCCGTCGATCTTTGGGTGATCGGTAACGGTTCTTTGACCAAGATGCTTAGATATTTGGCTCTGCCCCAAGTCAGCAGGGACTTGTATATGAGATCATAATTATGACCAACCAATCTTCTTTTGCCTTAAGCCAAGTGCGACTGCTACCTGAACTATCCGTGCGTGGTAGTATATTGTGAAGTCAAAGGTCCAGTGAATTTGCGCCTTTTGCTTCCAATGTCATGGTGGGCGGTGGTTATGATTCGAGCTGGTGCAGCGCCCGTGCCAAAGACACCAGCGCCGAAGACCCCAGCGCCAAGAGTGAAGTTTTAGAGAAGATAAACATGGAGCCAATGCAGGGGTAGCCGCCGGTTACGTCAGCAGAAAGAAGATCTTGACGAGACGAGCAGAAGATAGCGCTTTTCTCCTTGGCGAACGATGAGAAGCAAAGAATGAGCCGAAAGAAGCGCGTGAAGTCCATCCAGCAGCAATCGGCCCGGAATGAGGGGAAAGATTCCAGTCCATAGGTCCATAGAGGGGAACAAGCCTCGCAATGCGCGTCCTGACTGGGGTGACAACAGATGGCAACTTGAACGAGTTGAGCGAGGATGACGAGCTTCTGGCCGCTGAGGTGCTTTTGTACATTGCATCGTTTTTGTTGCCAAAGCCCACTAAAAAGAAATGGTGGGCTATGCAACGTGTGAGTCTGGGCCACGGGGCAGGGGCACGCTGAACGTTGGAGAAGTGGGATGCGAATGGTGGGCCGACCTTGACTGGTCTGTGATGCTGACGAGGCAGGGCAGTGCGGCGCCAGTGTCACGCACGCCGACGGCGTAACCAAACACGATTTGTTGCTCAGAGGAGCTTCGTGGACTCCAAATTCTAAAGGATCAGACAAAGACCAGCGAAACACTGGGTCATCAGCAGAGCTGAGATCCTGTCGCATTTGGCCGTATCGTGTCAAGACGGCCGCTGAGCCGTCATTTACCTCCTAGAGAAAGGGCGCCATGTTTGACTCAAGTCGAACTTGTGTTGAGGGCGCGTGAAGTTGAAGCGTCAGCGCCATGGAAGCAGAGAGTCGAAGAATTGAAGGCTGAAGCGAACGCGTACTTGGTTGAGAAGATGCAACTAGCGCAAGAAAGCGCGATGAGGCTAGAGTGGTGCGCCGCAGCCCCAGTGAACGCTATCGCGCCTCTGAATGTGCAAATGGCAAATCCAGGGTTTAATGCCTTGAAGTTGTCGCGCGCCACGAACCATGCGGGCTGTGACAAGATTTCTGCAGGCTCGTAAACACAGATGGTTCGTGGCGCGCGCAGATATTAGATTGCGTGCTTACCCTGAGGCCCAAGCATGGTTGAAAAGGACCGCGCGCGTTTTCGCTATTTTCAGCTCGCTTCGCGACGACAACCGCCCGGGTGAGTGGCTCTCAGAGAAAGGGGAAAGGAAGTATCTACAGTTGACAATCGGTCTATTTTTTTGGACTCTTTGACGCATTCTTTAGTTATGTCTCACTGGCGACTTGCAAGCGTCGTTGGATACGTTTTCCGACCTCCTTGAAATTGTTCATCTTTCAGGGGGTCCGAATTCTGTCCACCAATGCTTGTAAATGATTATCGTTTGGACACCCTGAAGAATGTACAAAAAATAGACTGCAAATATGCAATCAAGAAAACAATTCGCGCGATCGACGCGAAACGTAAAGAGGAACGCAGCGTGAAGTGGATGAATAATACGCAGAGAAGTGTCTATAATCTTTTTTGACCCTTTTACAAATGGTTCGCAAGCGTTGCTGGGTATATTTTTCGATCCCCTTGAGTTTGTACTTTATTCCGTAGGTCTTAACTTGCAGCAGGCCCTTTGGCGCATCATTACATTTAGCTAGCGCAACGATGCAATCATGAAACGCGTCAATGTATTAAGACATAGGCTGTTGAAATAAATCTTTTGTTTCCTTTCCATGAACCTGGCGATGCAAATGATACAATGATGAGAAATGCAGTCAGACGCATGTAGAGTTTAACGCCACAGCGCCCTTCGCGCAGGCGGATTTTTTTCTCTTACTTCTAGTGTTATTACTACTCCTACTACTACTACTTCTGCTACTACTACTACTACTGCCACCACTACCACCACTACCACCACTACCACTACTACCACCACCACCACGACTACTACTACTACTACTGCTACTACTACTTCTGCTACTACTACTACTACTACTACTGCTACTATTTCTGCTACTACTACTACTACTCCTCCTGCTGCTCCTTTTGCTGCTGCTGCTACTACTGCTGCTGCTGCTACTGCTACTGCTACTGCTACTCCTATCACCACCACCGCCACTACCACCACCATTACTACCACTACCACTACCACTACCGTCGTCCTAGTAGTATTTGTAGTAGTAGTGGTAGCAAGAGTAGTAGTGGTTCTGCCGCAGTACTGCCACTACCCCACCACCATTACTAGTGCTACTGCTAGTGCGACTGCTACCTGCCCCGCAGCCGGCACCTTAAGAACCTCACAAAAAACGCCCCTTTGAATTTTTTTTGTTGGGGCAGCGGAGCTTTGATTTGTTGGTTTTGTGTGCGTGATGATGACCAACATTTCTTTCCACAGGTGCTTACAATGCTCCTGGATATGCCATGGGTTTGGCACTGAACCGACAAAAATCGATTTCATTGAAAGAGAACCAACTTGAAATTAGAACCAAAAGAGCTTACAAGGCTTACAAGTGGGCACTCAGTTCTCGTCAAAAAGTTTTTTCTAAGGCAGCTCTCTCACAAACAGGGTGGCCGATTGTGGCATTGCCTTGACCTTGATTGCGGGAAAGAATGGGAAAGGTGCGCTCTTGATTTGGTCTGATTGCCCAAGGCTTGCTCAAATAAATCTGCGCAAAGCGCAGTTGGGCGTCAGCTGCGTAGTTGGCAACAACAAAGCACAGACATTGTTTGAATTTGACTTGGTTTGCAGTATCGCACATAAACATTGGTAAAACTTCTGCAAGGCACTCAATGATGAAAAAATTGATGGGCTGGACACGCCGGTTGGCCGTCAATTTCAGGCAGGTAAATGTAGCATTTGCACCAACTTTCCAAAGAGACATATGGAACAATGCACTGATCCTGTGTAGTTGCAGCAATCTCCGACATTTTCCGCGCAACTCGAGGCGCAGCTTTTGGCAGCACTCGCAGCCAGGGATGGAGCGGTGGGGCAATTGTGTGTGACCTTCAATTTTGCAAGAGGTTTTTTCAAAGACGTTACAGTAGGCTGCGCAAGATGCAGCTGGAGCCTATTTGTCCACAGCTCCACAGTCTGAATCAGTATGCTTCTCAGAGCCTTTCATGAGGGCAAATGAACAGTTGTGTGAAACTCAGGAAAGTGCCTTGGGTTCTTTGACTGCGTTGGCCGCCCAGGCTCCGAGGGTTTCTTGATACTTTTGAGTGCCTAGAGCCTAGTGACCATTCTTCATCAACAGACTCGTCAAAAGAAAAAAGGCTATGGAAGTCCTAAATGCCTAAATGCTTCTAATTTTTCACATAATACTACCTCTTGCTGACAATAGCCTCTTCTTTTCATACCGCAACCCCTACCTATACATTTTACCAGGTCCTTCCATTTAAAGAACACTTTCAAGTGATATTGTTTGAAAGTACAAAGGGATGATGGACGTTGCAACTTTGTGAGCCGTGTTTGGAAGCGGAGGCTTTGGCATCCCCAGATCCACAGGAACCTGTCTGGTTGTGGTAGCGCGTCGAGTATTGCTGTCCTTTATTCACGGCATACTGCAGCATTTTGTGGCAGGAGCGTTTGCAAATCCTTGATGTGCTTCAACAGGCTTTGAAGCAGGTGCTCAATTGGCATGATTCTTTATTGGTGGTGCCTTTGGACGGCTTTTGAAGCCGCTTCGGCAGGTGATTGGAAGTGGAGCCGAATTAGATCTGGCGCTAAGCACGAAATGGCCTTTGTGCAGTTCTCAGCAACTACGAAGAGTGCTCTTTCATTTCTGAGACATCTAATGACCATGCAGTATGACTTTATATGACATACTGTATGACCATGGTTCTTGCATTGCACAAGGTGGGGCATCCTGCACGTTGCCATGGACGCGTTTGCCCAGCAACCTGTTTTTTAATGTATTGTTTCAGGGTTGTAGATGACTTCGGTGGTGACTTGTTTTTTGACCAGGATGCCTTGAGCATGCCCTTTGTGCGGGGTTGCTTTTTATATGCTTTTTACTTTTTAGGACGCGTTCATCTTGGTTTCACAAAAGCTTTCCTTTTTTGGCCGCTGGTGGCCATGTAGCAGTTCTTTTTCCATTCTTGATTTTGATCATCAGAAAAGGCAACAAGTTCAACGCCAACGTTTGGTTGACGCGTAGAGAGACACACACACTTAGATAAAGGCTCGCAAGAGCAGTATCAGTGATGATCTCCCAGTGAAGCTAGCACTTACGTTACTGAAAGCCAGACCTTGACTTGCAAAACGGAAGGGTGGAGGAGTCCGCATCAACAGTATGGTTTAACATGGGTGAAACGAGGAAACTGGTTGAAAATTTGGCATGTACAAGATACAGCGTCCAGTATCTCATCCAACAGAACACCATAGCTTTGTTAGCAGGCTAGGTGAACGGCCGCCGTGCCCCCTGCTTTGTACACAAGTTGAATTCCCGAGAGACAGGTGTTGACGCACACGAAAGGCCGGATCGGCGCACTCTGGGGGGGGAAAAAGGGGGAAAAAGTGCGTTGACTAAACGAGCCTGAAAGTAAACCTAACAAGCCTGAAGGAAAGAAGCAAACAAACGAAAGAGGCAAGAAAAGAAAGGAAAGAAAGGAAAGGGCGCAAGGGGTGTGGGGGTGTGGGTAGGGCTTGCGTTGACAAAACGAGCCTAAACGCTGACCTAACAAGCCAGCAAACGAAAAAGGCTAGGAACGAAAGGGTTCAAGGGGCGTGGGGTGGGGGGAGGAGGGTTTGCAGGCCCGAAGGCTCGTGAAAGAAAAGGGAAGAAAAAGGGTGTGTGAAGGGGGAACACGATGAAAAAAGGGGAACCAAATGAAGGGGACAGAAACCGATGAAAGCCAAACCTCATTGAAAACCTGTTGCAAAGACTTCGTTTGAATGTAAGTATACTGTGCACGAGGAAGGGAGGGGTAGGGAGAGAAGAGAGAGGAGAAGGAGAAGACGACGGTGTTCCCAGCTACGACGCAAACGTCCAAGGACACACCAAGAAAGGAAGACAAGGGTTCCCTGCTTGACGAAAGCGTCCAGGGATGCCCAAGCAAGAAGGAAGGGGAAAGAAAGGAAAGAGGAGGAAAGACAAGGAAGTGGACAGGTGTTCCCAGCTACGAGCAAGCGTCCAGGGACACACTAAGGAGAGGGGTGTACCTCAGTGTTACATTCAGGAATGCCACAAAAGCCAAGAGAGAAGAGGGGGAGGGTGAGGGGTAAGTTTCCCCAAAGTGGCAGTAGAGTATACTGGACCTGATCGAATACACCAAGTAAGACCCTCTCACGATGCAAGTGTGCGAGTGACGACGAGCACACTTTTCTCTATGGCGCGGAGTGCAGTATTGGGCTTCAAAGTCTTGAGCCAAATGAAGTAAGCGGCAGCTGACTGAAGAGAACTATATATATATATACACAAGTAACTACAGACAACAGGTGCTACACACGTATAGCGTAGGCGTAGACACGTCTGGGGGAACCTAGGGCCCTACAAAACACAAACAGACACAAATTTTCTTCGCGTCGTAGCTTCCGGCTGCGAAACTACAAAAGGTGCATTTCTGGCATCGCAGAACTTGACCGTAGATGCCAGTCTGGCCCTTAAGTCTATGACGTCAGACAATCTAAAAAGGCTCTCTAAAATGGAGGCTTGCGAACCTATACAAATCTACGAAAGGCAAAATTATCTTGTTGTGAATCTTCCGTAATGTCGGAAGTATTTCAAGGCTGTTAGAAATCTTCAAAGTCTATTCAAGTACATAAGCTGTAAGGAGTTTTCAAAATCTATTCAGATCTAATCTATTGCGACTCATGAAGCGCAATTGCCGGAATGTCGACAATGCTTGGACGTCATTAACCATGAGCGTATCCAGTGTCCCAGCCGGATTGCCGCCATGATGAGGAAGAGGCAGAGGATTGCCACCAATCTTGCCGTTCTTGCCTCTGTTCTTTGTCCTTCTGCTTTCGGTACTGTGCAGATGCTTTGCCTCGGACTCGAACGTTGGATCTTGCAGCGAGCGAAAAGTTACACTGAAACGGGTGGTGATAGGCCTCATCGCTGCTCCTTAGGCATAAATCTAAATGATTCAAATGTTTCAGGTACTCATTGACCTTGATGAGGGTTTCTTTCTGACACGGAGGTCCGGTGTATCCTACACGGCCTCGGTCTTCCGTAATGTCTTTGCCATAATTAGCGCAATCTGCATAAGGCAGTCAACGTCGGCGTCCTGCGTGGAGAGCTTTCAGTTGTAGGTAATGCGTTGGTGAGGTTCGCGCAGCTTGTTTGCAGATACCAAGATCTGGTCTAAAATAGCTAGGACGGAGCCTGTCGCCGGATCGGAATGTCGATCCTGCTCAAACTGCCGATTAGTGAAGAGGTTCGCGTCACATACGATGACGTCCACCTGGTCCGCAAGTGCCGTCACCAGAATCTTGGTGAGCGCTCCCTTCCCTGCCGTGATGCAGTCAGCAAATGCGCTGGAGTTCAAATGGAAGGCGCAAATCCGTAACTCAGGGAGATGCGTTCGCTTGCAATCAGCTAGCCTACCAGTCCGGAATGTCGGACTTTCGTGGTACAGGCGCTGGCATCAATAGGCTCGGCCTGGCTGAATTTGGTTGTCGCTTGGCAGTGCCTATCTGGACAAACGACGACTCCCATATTCTCGGCAGGATCTTCGCCATCTTCAAGTGCTTTGCGAAGATTTGTGTGGACTCCTTTATCGGTCGTGATGCCCCCGTGGGTGTCCTCATCGACCTGGCCCCAAGTAACTCTAAAAGTTGCCGCGCGCGCAAGCCAATTAAGGCGATCTGAGTCAAGTTGAATGCGGCGCAAAAGCTCAAGCCTGGACGTAATGTCGTCCGTTGAGCGTACACAAGCGATCGGATGCGCGTGCCCATCAGGCATGGCAACAAGGCACATCTTATTATACTGACAAAAAGATCGCTGTGTCTCTTCAGGCCGCCTGCTTCAAGAAGAACCGTTACGTGGGCGGTATTCCGAACCAAATAATGCGGAAGGACGCTATATTGGTCGGTTTCCTGGAGGCTTCGGGGCAATTGCTGCTTCCCGTTAAAATGAGGAGGACGGTTAATGTCGCCTAAATTCAACAGCAAAACATGCTCGGTAGAACGAAGCAGTTTTGCGTCCTCCAGATCAAAGTCGCCTTGGTTTGCACGAAAGCGAGCCATATGGCTTCGACTCAGGTCAACAATGTGACACATCTCATCGCCAGAGTATCGGCGGGATTGGTCGTAGAAGCAACTAGGTCGAACAATCGCATATGGGGCGATGTCACTTTGATTATTCCAGTGCTCGACGATGGGTGGCACCGTGCTCGTATGGTAAGTAGGCTTGTTACTGTAGTGATACTTACCGAGCCCTCTAAAATGATACGGTCCATTGCGGCAAATCGGTGGATCCGCCGCTCATCACCAAATCCTTCATCTCACGAAGTCGTTGGCGGCGTCGGCGTCCAGCTAATCTGTCCTTAAGGTGTCCATCCTTCAGATTCGGGAGCAAAAGGCGTTGTAAAACTGACCTAGCGGTGATGTCCTCCCGTTCGTCTTCTCCCAGTGGCGCCGGAATGTCGGCGTCTGGGATCGTCGAGCTCACATACGGTGAGTTGCATTGACATTGGTTGGCCTTGTCGTGGAAGCAATCCAGGCATGTACCGTGGCCACAAGCGCGACAGAAGAAAAGTACTTCTTCAAGACTGCGTTTAGTGCATACAAGCATAGTGGTTTAAACATTTAGTTTTTTTTTTTTATGATTTTTATGTTTCCAATATGTTTCTATTTATGTTTTTACAAAGTGGTGTTTTTTGGTTTATGATATTTTTATGTTTTTTTTTTAAAAATGTTCTCTTGTATGTTTTATTTTATGTTTTTAATATGTTTTGTTGAAGTGCCTTTTTCATGTCTTCCCTTTAGCGTTTGTGTTTTTCTCGCTATCTTTCGGCAAATTCACCAATCGTTTTTGGCCTGTGGTTGAAGGTCCGTTCAAGGTTCTTGGTTTGCGAGCCAAATAAATATCAAGTATGCAGAAGGCCTGCAAAATTTCATGTCCGTGATGTGTTTGAATAGGGCTAGTGTAGCTCAGGACTCGCGAGGGCCAAAGGTTGAAAAAAAGGAGACAGGCGCTAACAATTAACGACTGAAGTGATAGGATTCTAAATCTCAGACGTGCAAAGTGTCACGTGGCCTTTGGCCAAGGGCAAGGTTTCGCGGCGTTACTTGCAGCTACGTTGGTATAAGCCGCCAGGCATTTAGCAAATAAAGCAAGGGAATATCAATGGCAAGTTCTATGCTGGAGACACGGTGGAAAAATCCCAGCAGCGCGCAAGGTTTAAAATGTTTGACGCCTTTAAGCCTTTAAGTAAGAAGGTTTCAGTTTACGCTGATTCCCTCAAGCCTGTGAAGGCTGTGCCGTACTCAGGGCCACAGGGAAGGAAAGGAACAGGACTTAGCGATTGCCCCGTGGCTAGCTCTAGGTGACCTCCCACCTGCCTGGGACTTCGGACGCGCCAGTTCTCGAGGCCACTGCGCAACCTGCAGACCTAGCCGCCACCTTCCCAGCCGCCGCGCTGCGTCCTACCCCAGCCGCGGAGGCGCGCCGCGCGGAATCATTTCAAAAAACATAAAAAACATCATCAAAAATCATAAAAAATCATATCAAAAAAATAAAAAATCAGAAAAACATAAAATCTCTGACACAGGCACATTTTTCAATATTTTTATGATTTTTTTTAATGATTTTTTATGTTTCCATTTATGATTTTTTAATTATGTTTTTTTTGTGATTCCGCGCGGCGCGTCTCCGCAGGTGTGGGTAGGACGCGGCGCGGTGGCTGGGAAGGTAGCGGCGAGGTCTGTAGGTTGCGCAGTGGCCCCTCGAG